TGATCGTATTCAGTTCAATTTAACTAAATTACATTAAATTAAATCTAAGTTTTAAATTGTAAGTCGTAAAATTATACTCCAACGATATATTTTATGATGAATGTTTCATCATGCATATGTAAAAATTGGCTATGCAAGCCATTTTGTTATCGTGGATATTTACCGACAACGCGGTAAAAACACATGCTGTATTTACATCGAGTACATGTGTGATGTTTAATTCAGATTCAAATTTTTAATAATTGCTTAAGTGTTTTTAACAAAAAAATGATCAAAGCCAAATTTTATATGGATTTGTCATATAATATATGCCTAATCACACAAAAAAAAAATTATATTGTCTAAAAAAATGTTCTCTACCTTTATTTCATATTTAAGAAATATCATATAGCAACCTGTATATTAATTTAGATATGCATGCTAATATATTTTTTTTTTTTTTAGTCATATAGCATTTGATTGAACTGTGAAGTTGTAGATTTTGATTGTAAGTCGTTAAATTATATTTCAACAATATATTTATACGATGAATTTTCCATTATGAATTAAGTAAAAATCTGGTAAATTGTGTTATGTTTACTTCAAATTTAAATTTTTAATAATTGCTTAAGTGTTTATAACAAAAAAATGAACAAAGCCAAATCTTAAAACGGATTAGTCGTATAAATATATGGCTAACATTCCACAATAGTTCTTTGTATGGTTTGCATTTGTTTATGTATTCAAAATAAACCATTTTTTTTGTGATCACCAATGTTGCCAACATACAAAGTTGAGAGTAGCTATTATTATGATTGTATTACTTACAACTTATGTTGAAAAAAACGAGTGAGGTTCTACTTACTGTCAAACAAAAAATAAACAAAAAAATTATGCGTATTTTATTAAATTTTATACTTTATTATGTTATAAACTAATGTACATTAGTCAATATTACGATTTTTATGGATATTTTTGAAATAATTAAAATGAATAGCAAAAACAAAATTATTACAGTAAAGAATTAAATTTTATTGAAGGACAATGAGACAATTGTTTTTTTTTTTATTATTATTATAATTTTACAGCAAACCTATTCGCCTGAATTGGTTTTAATTATTATATTTTAATCACTCTTTTCTATATCATTCACTATCACCATCACTTTTTAATGCCATATTTGTGCCGCAGTTTGTTCCAAAGCAATAAGTATTTCCACAGCTTCTTCATGCACTACTAATTTTTTGAACTCATCTGTATATGGAAGTTGTCTAAAATTTTTAATTGTATTGAAGTTTATGTTAGCTAGTTTATTTTTGAAAGTGTTGACAAAACGGTTTACGTCAGGTTGAAAATCTGTATACGTTTGTTGTTGTTTGTTTGCTTCTTTATTGGTAGATGAACGCACCATGGTAACTTCATATGGCGAACGTAATCCGAGAAGATGCATTCTTAGTGCGACCATAGTTTCAATCTTCTCCTCAGGATTTTTAGTGTCATTTTCAACCATGCTTTTTTTGTAATCAATGTTATCTAGATAACACGATAAGATACGTGATAAAATAACGTGATTTATGGTATAAAATGCCTTTGCTAAATCTAAGAAAACCCCAATTGCATTTTTACCATTATCTAGTTTCTCATATAAGAACTGTGTTACAGTCAGAGTTGTGCAAATTCTTATTCGAATAATTATTCGAATAATTTTTTTACAAATTATTCGAATAAAACGTTATTCGAATAATTTTTCTACAAATTATTCGAATAAATTTTTATTCGACAATTTTTTTTTCAAAATTATTCGAATAAAAGGTTATTCGAATAATTTTTTCACAATTTATTCGAATAATTTTTTATTCGAATAATTTTGAAAACAACATTTTCGAATAACTTTTTATTCGAATAATATTTTTACAATTTATTCGAATAAAAAATTATTCGAATAAATAATAATAAATAATGATACTTTTCTTACGTACTTTAAATGTAAAAATGGTATAATTGATATATTCATTCTATGTATATAATGCGTAATAAAAAATGTAGGTATAAACATCATATGTAAAGTTTTAAAAAAAAAAAGTATTTATTTTCCTCTATTCTTACTATAAGATTTACATATTATTCAGCTATATACTTAATATAAAGCATATATAGTACCAAAAATAAAACAAAATATCCGAGCCTATATGTAAGAAAACATTATTGACTTAAAGCAGAATTTGATCATTTTAAATGTGTTATCTGTAAATGATAAATTTCAATAATTTATTTCATTCTGTAAATCATATCTATAAGTTGTAATTTTTTCATTTTTTTATTACGAGTTAGTAAAAAGTCAATGCCTTGTTATTATATAATTTAACTACTATTATTATTATATTAAGACATTTTTTATAATTTTTTCTTTTTGTTATTATTTCTACAACCAAATTGTGTAATAAGATTGGTGTTATTTTTATTATTAGACAGTTGTAATTTTGTTTATTTATTAGTTTTCACTAGTTTTCGCAAAACTTACTTAATTACTATTTTTTCAATGTTCTTTTGTTCTATGTCTGTATTTAAAGTAATATTGACTAAAGCTCTAACTTATTATACAATACCTATCTATATTTTATATAAACTATTTCTTAAATTGTCCTTGGTTAATTATACCACATTAATGTAATAATATCGTCGTTTATATAAAAAAATGTCTACTGAGTATTCTATTTTTTTTTTCGTATTTGATAAGTAATTCCAATGTGCCTAACACAAAACTCAATTTGTGAAATCTGTAAATAAAATTAAAATACGTATAAAACACTTCACACTAAGTTTTCCAACCTTTGAAATAGACATAGGTTAATTTTATTTTTTGTAGTTAATTTGTTTTTATTGAATTTAGACGGTGATAAGAAAATTTTAAATTAAATTTAAGATTTATCCTAGTGTTTATAAATAGTGCATAACATGTAATATATAATATATATTAAAAAATTATTATTAAAAAACATCACTTACAAATTATTCGAATAATGGTGTACAGTTATTCGAATAATTTCATATATGATTACTCGAATAATGTTAGTCGAATAAAACGTTATTCGAATAATTTTAAATATGATTATTCGAATAATTTTTTTTTCGAATAAAAATTTGTTATCTAGATAAAGACATTATTCGAGTAAAATTTATTCGAATAAAAAGTTATTCGAAAATTTTTTTTCAAAATTATTCGAATATTTTTTATTCGAATAATTTTAAAAATAATTATTCGAATAATTTTTTATTCGAATAATTTCAAACATATTTTATTTAAATAATTTTTTATTCGAATAAAAGTGTATTCAAATAACTATTTTTGAAATTATTCGAATAAAAGTTTATTCGAATAATTATTTTTGAAATTATTCGAATAAAAGTTTATTCGAATAAATTTACTCGAATAATGTGTTTATCTAGATAATTATTTAGATAACGTTTTATTCGAATGATGCACAACTCTGGTTACAGTAACTACACTATCTCCAAGTTAATTCCCCATTCCTCTATCTCTTACCCCCGACACCCTATCTCTTATGAGCAAAACCAAATTTTAATTCGGATTAGTCATACGGATTCCGACAAATTGACTCTACCTTCGTATTTCATAATATTATAGTACTAAGTGTAGGTTTCTTTGGTAATCAAAAAATATTCATTATGGACAAATTTTTTCGACAACAAAAAATGTCGGTGTAAAATGTTAACTATCGTTAGAAGGATATCATTCTGAAAAACTTGTCAAAAAGGACGTTACAGTGAACTGGAACACGTTGTCAGAACTAGCTATTCTGCTTAACTTAACCACCTCCAGATTTCAATAAAATGTATAATCTTACATCTTTGGGATTAACTACCAATGGCTATAAGACAATTATGTCATGGTGCTCTACCGAATGTCTGCAACTGAGGATTTTAATCTGATTTTGTGAAAAAAAAAACATATATATATATATATATAATAAATACAATTTGTCATTGTCGCTATATGTGTAACAATGATTACAACTTTTCTAACAGATGAAATTCTAATTTATCTGAAATTACATAGCTCTAATGGCATTAATCTTAATCCACATGCCACATTCGTTCTTAGTATATATTGCATTTGTTTATGTGTTCAAAATAATACATTTTTTGCGTGATCACCAACGTTACGAACATCAATGTTGATAGCAACTAGTTTACTTACAACCTACGAATGAAAAAAAGAGTGAGGTTCTTTAGACTGTCAAAAAAAAAAAAATGAACAAGAAAAATATGCGTATTTTACAAATTGTATACTTTATTATGTTATAAACAGCTGATGTACATTAGTCAATATTACAATTTTTATAGATATGTTTGACATAATTGCGATGAAAAGAAAACGGTAAAGAATTATTTATTGTAGGACATTATGACAATTGTTTTTTTTCTAATATTATTATAATTTTACAGCGAACTTATGCGCCTTAATTAGCATTAATTATTATATTTTAATCAATATCTTGTAGATCAGAATTTGATTTAATTTCTTCTATAACTATATTAATACCATCCACAACTAGTTCAATCTCTTTTAATTTTTTGAATTCATCTGTATATGGAAGTTGTCGAAAATTATTAATTGTATTGAAGTTTATGTTAGCTAGTTTATTTTTGAAAGTGTTGACAAAACGGTTTACGTCATGTTGAAAACCTGTATACGTTTGTTGTTGTTTGTTTGCTTCTTTATTCGTAGATGAACGCACCATGGTAACTTCATATGGCGAACGTAATCCGAGAAGATACATTCTTAGTGCGACCATAGTTTCAATCTTCTCTTCAGGATTTTTAGTGTCATTTTCAACCATGCTTTTTTTGTTATCAATGTTATCTAGTGGACTCAAATAGTTCTCTAACTCGGCAATATCAAGTGCAATCCCACTCTTACTCCAGTTAAACGGGTATTCTTTATACGTTAAGGTCTTGTGCATCAGACAAATTATGATTACTTTCACCATCTCAGAAACCTTAAAATGAAACATTTGCAATGACTTAATCTGTTGACTCAATTTATTACCGTTGACTTGCGTTCCCAAATCATAATCTTTTTTTAAATGCAGCAACACCTGGTCCCAATTTAGCTCTACTCCGGAAATTTCTAAAATTTGTTTTGTCGCTTCCATGTCTGCCAGCAGTCCGTTCAAGCTCAACACGTTCAAACTAAACTGTTCGTGCCCGTCGGTGCTGATACCGTGTTCGTTGGCGTTTATATCTATTCGCTGCATGAAAACTGATGTTCTAGTTTCTAGAATGGTCAGTAGATTTTCCAAATTATCAGTACTACACCGCAAGACTTCTAAATCCAACTTTATGCCCCGCTTATAACCGGCGCAGACGGCAGAGTCTATGTTTTTATCGAGAAAAATACTTACGGATTGGTGAACGGAATAGATGGTTTCTTGATCTTCGGCCGGGACCTTATTTATGACAGATTCCATATACGCCAATACTCTCTCGGCGTAAACTGAAAATATCCACATTGCGTTCTGTAAACCAGTATTCTGCATTCCAACGACATTATGGAAGGTCGCATTGATTTTAGCAGCTTGTTTGGTATACGATAGATCTTTACCTTCAGAAACTGTCTCCAACTTATCTTTATATTCTATCAATTCGCCGATCACCTCCATGTAAGTTTGAGCACTATGTATGTAGCTACATTGAACACGAATTAATGGATCCAAATTTCCTTCTTCCTTATATTCTTCAACAATGCTTATGGTGGTAGACGCCATTTTTAAACTGTAGCTAACCATAACGGTTGCTATAAAAATGAACTTAAACGACATTTTCATGAACATAGAATTTTTGTATTTTACTCAGAAACCACTTTGCGAAAGAACAGAAGTCTTAAACCAGTGTAACAATAAAGTATACTAAACGAGAAACGTTTTACACGATTGCTATTAGTTCGGCTTTAACAAAATAAATGCCTATGACGCTTATAAAAATTGTTAGCAAACATGAATTCCGTGTGCTTATTTGATTTGCCGCATACATATATGATTACATAAACAACCAATTGTTAGTTTGAGTTTTAAAGATGGCTGTTGGTTTTATTATTGTGGAAAATGTTTTGCAATAAGCTTTGTAATGCCACATACTAAAAAACCTAAATGTATTTAACCAACACCTATAGTACTGAGTTATACTGTGGATATATTATACAGGCTTATCAACTTATCGTGAACACCTCAATACCTCACTGGGTTTAATAAGAAGTTACATGTTTTCTTTACATAGTGTTTTTATGCATTTCGATCTCAATTTCTCACAATTTTTTTTTCTACCCCTCTCCCAAACAAAGGCGAATTTGTGCCTAAAATAATATGACAACATGTGAATACAATATAACAAATGTTTACCAAATGCGCTCGTTAAATTTACTCTAGCAACTCTAATAGTTGTGCCCGGCTTTATCATGGTGCATATACAAGATAATCCACTTATCAGTTATCTCAAGGATGTAATATATTATAATGCTCTTTTTGACAAGTTTTTCAGAAATATATCCCTCTAACGATGATTTACACCTTTACACCGACATTTTTTGTTGTCGAAAACATTTGTTCATATTGAATATTTTTTGTTTACCAAAGAATTCTACACTTAGTATCATACTATTATTAAATTACTATTATTATTATTAAATAAAAGGATAGAGTCAATTTATCAGTAAATATATTTTTTTTTGTACGAGTAGGCATACATTTTATGACTAATCCGTATTAAAATTTTGTGTTAAAAACACTTAAGCAATTATTAAAAAATTGGAATCCGAAGCAAACATTACACATGTACTCGGTGTAAATACAGCAAGTGTTTGTACAGCGTCGATAAATATCAATTGTAAAAAATGGTCGCTAAACGAATTTTTACCAGATTTTTACCTATGCATAGGTATATGCAAGACTGACAATCCAAAACTTAGATTTAACCTAATTTGATTCAGTTAAATTGAATTGAATACGAACACCCAAGTATTGGGTTTAACAAGTTTTTCAGAAGGATATCTTTCTAACGACGATTAACATAATAAACCGTCATTTTTTGCTGTCGAGAAAATTTGTCCATAATGAATATTTTTTGTTTACTAATGTAGGTTACACATATTACCAAATAAGAAATAAAAAGGTAGAGACAATTTATGCGCGAGTAGGCATATATTATATGACTAATCCGTTTTGTGTTCTTCATTTTTTGTTAAAAACACTTAAGAAATTATTAATAAAACTGTATTTGATGCAAAAATATGTTTTACGGTGTAAGTATACAACAAGTGTTTTACCGCGTTATCGGTAGATATCTACAATGAAAAAATAGGTCAGACAACAATTTTTTACCAGATTTTTACCTAAGCATGGTGGCAAATTCATCGTACAAATGTTTTTGAAATATAATTTTACTACTTAAAATCCAAAACTTGGATTAAATTTAATTAAATTTAGTTAAATTTAACAGAATAAGAACACCAACTCTATCTTTACTTTAACAATAATGATTTATATAGTTTTTCATTGTTTTGTCAAATCAAGTCAGTTCACGCGTACATCTCACTATCATTTATTAACCACCTCCCTTTTTCTTTTTATTTCTCTTATTTGGTGCTCAACACTCATTTTCATCAACCTTTGCCGTTATTTATAACTTTAATATTTTACTTTAGATATGTTGCTCTTTTCCACCTCTTCCCACCAAACTGAATTATTTTAAATTAAATAACTGGTTTAAACTGAATTAACTGGGTCTTATTTTTGGTATAATTTTGTACTATTTTTTATTACAGTTTTTTTTGGATTAGCGAATTTAAAGAACTGATATTTTTTGAACATACAAAATGTGTGACATCTATGTATGTACCTTGAGTACGTGTGTTTAATCGCCACAAAATTTATGCGTAATATATAATGGACCAAAAGACCCTAAACTTATGTTGGCATGAAAAAAACCCCAAATATGAAGTTATTTAAAATTTTAGGCTAGGTCCGTCGACATTGCATTACAAAGTAAACAAAAACAAATTTTGTTTTATTATTAAGGTTTTTAATGCTTTAAGCAGTGTAAAGTATACAGCCTTGAATGTAACACAGAGCTCGAGTGAGCAAGGTTTGTTCATCTGATATGTGCTACATTAGTAAATCACAATTACAATATCGTTATTGTACAATTATAATATAAAAACATGCACAACAGCAAACGTATTTTAGGTTAGGTTCATTTACAATATAAAATAGTCACTACGTTCAAAGTATAAAATAAACAAGACATCGAGTATCGCGGTCTTGCGTTTATTGTATAATACTTATTTAACTAATAATTGATTGTTGCACTAAAACAAGGTTTGACAGACTTTAACATTAGCTATACAATGATCATATTGTGTTAGTACATTAACAGTTAACGGTTTAAATCGAACACACATACTATTATACAACAATAATAGTTATAAGCGTTATAATATTATGTATAAGAAGTTTGATTCAATACACAATTCTGTACAATGTAATGTTGCAATAAGAAACGAATTGGTATAGAAGTGATTTATTTTAAAACAAAAATATAGAAGAAAACCAATTGAAAATTAGATGTACAAGAAAAATAAATGTATATGATAATTTTTTTAAAATTAATTATGATATAGCTTTTACAAAAATTGTTTTTAAATATTTAACAAGTATGTATGAAAAAAGTTTTGTTGACAGATATTTTGTGGTCGGAAATTTGCTATTGTAATTCGATCCCTTTTTGAATATCACAACTACTTATACAGGGTGATTCCATGAACCAGTCAATATCTCACTGGGTTTAATTAATAATTGATTTTTTTTTTCATATTGTTTTTATACAATGTGATCTCAATTTTTCACAATTTTTTTTGTTTTTAACCCCCTCCCAACTTAGATTTTCTGATAGCAACTTTTGAAACTTAAATAGTAACGTCTATATTTTATAACCTTTTTAAATAAAGAATAATATATTACAAATTTTGACTGGTCGATAACCAGTTTCGGATAACTATTTTTGAAGTTATAAGAGTTCAAAAGTTAGGATGAGTAGGGCTGTTGGGAAATACTTACTTATATCCTTCAGATGCAGTACAAAGACAATTATTACTACCATATAATATACCAGAAAGTACGCACCAAGCAGTTTTTACAGCAGAAAATATTTTCACGTATAGAAACCAGGAAATAGATTGGAATTTACATCCTCAATAGTAATAATAGCAACAGTTATAATACAACAATATTAATACCATTCATACATATAAGGTAATAAGTTGTTTTTTTATCTTTCAAAGTATACATACAAATGTATGTACTTAAAAAAAATGATGTATGTAACTCAAATGTATGTAACTTATAAATATAAGTAAAAGATTTCTTTATAAATAGAATTACTTTTAAAATTGTAGTAGCTATACTTATTGCACTAGATATGAAAGGTATTAGTAAGAATTTCTATGTTTTAAATTTATTTTACTATTAGATAATAGTTTCTATTCTACGTATTTACCATAGTATATAAAAAAAAAGAAAGAAATCAAAACTATACTAAAAATAAGACCCAACAATACAGTGTGGTGGAAAGGGCAACAGATCTAAAGTAAAAAATAAAAGTTATATACAACGGCAATGAATGACGAAAATAAATGTTGAGCACTAAATAAGAGAAATAAAAATAAAATGGGGTGTGGCTAATAGAAGATAGTGAAATTGTATGCACGAACTGACTTGGTTGGATAAAACAATGAAAGACTATAAATAACATTATTGTTTTTTTTATTACTTGTACGGTCAGAACAGTTACATCAATAGACTTCTAAATAAGTTTGATCATGTTTCGTTCAATTAAAAATAATATTGTAAAAATAGATGAATCCCCACGTCTCGATTCCTAGAACAAACCCAATACTTAGTTATCCATTGAAACAAAGAGTAAATATAGAATTGGTTTAATTTGTGTTCTTATTCGGTTAAATTTAACTAAATTAAATTACATTGAATCTAAGTTTCGGATTGTAAGTCGTAAAATTATATTTCAACAAAATATTTATCGGATGAATTTTCCATGATGCATATGTAAAAATCTGGTAAACATTTGTTGTGCAACCTATTTTTTTACTGTAGATATTTACCGACAACGCGATAAAAACACTTGCTGTGTTTACACCGAGTACGTGTGTAATGTTTGCTTCAGATTCAAATATTTTATAATTACATTTTATACAATAAGTTGACTATACAACATTTTAAATCGAATGAATTATTAGACGAAAAATATATGCTTATTCACACAAAAAATGTCGGTGTACAATGGTATTCGTCGTTAGAAGAATATCTTTCTGAACAACTTGTCAAAAAGAGCATTATAATATATTACATCCTTGAGATAACTGATAAGTGGATTATCTTGTATATGCACCATGATAAAGCCGGGCACAACTATTAGAGTTGCTAGAGTAAATTTAACGAGCGCATTTGGTAAACATTTGTTATATTGTATTCACATGTTGTCATTTTATTTTAGGCACAAATTCGCCTTCATATTTGAGGTTCTTTTTTCATGCCAACAAAGGTATGCTTTGGTCTATTGTATATTATGTAAATATTTTATGGCGATTAAACTAGAAAGATTTTAACGCATGTACTTAAGGCCCATACTCAGATGTCACACATTTTGTATGTTCAAAATATCAGTTTTTTAAATTCTCTAAACAGAACCCCCAAAATTATTTTAAACTAACTGATTCAAAAAAGTATTACAAAAATAGAAATGTATTCTTGTTACGATACCTAATTTAATTTAATATTTTTTAGGTCATTAAAAATAAAAGTTGTATATAAGATGTGAATAGCAAGTTTGGGCGAGGGGTAGAAGAAAAAATTGTGAGAAATTG